GCCCTCGCCTGAGCCAGCGCCCCCACTCAGTGCCCCGTACTTGTCCCCACAGGCCGGCAGAGGAGCCCATGGAGCAGGAACCTGCCCTGTGACACCCTGGCCCCCGTCCCTCTGGGCTCCATCATTGTGATTTTGTTTATTTTTTCTATTAAAAACAAAAAGTCACACATTCAACAACGTGTGCCGTGTGGGTCTCTCAGCCGCGCCCCTCCTGCTCCTCCGAGCTGCCTTGGGCCCCCAGCCCTGTGGCCTGCATCTCCATTCAGGAGTCGGCTCCCTCTGTGGGGGCAGGGTGCTGCCTGCCCTCGGGGTGCTGCCTGCCCTCGTGTTACACCCTGCATTCTTTTGACCCCCTTGGAGCCTGGGCCAGCTCAAGGTGGGCACGGGGCCTGGACAGTGCCCTCCAGTCCTGGGGCCCAAGTGAGGAGGGAATAGCTAAGTCAGTGCCTTGGATTCAGCTGACTTGGGGAAATGCCTTAATTTCACCCTCCTTCCCTCTCCAGCCTCAAGAGAGGCTCTGGAGGGTCTGCAGCCTGCCAGGATGCAGGGTGGACGGGAAGTGGGCTCCTACCAGCGGCCCCCTGCCCTACCCCTCTTCGTCCTCTCCATCCCTGCAGACCCTGCTTCTCTTCCTCTGAGCCTCAGCCCAGTGGGAGGCTGGTGCCAAGTGACGTCTGTGAGCCATTGCCCTGCCTCACGCTCCCTGGGGCCGCTTCCCCTTCCCAGGGGCTGGGAGGAAGAGTGTGTGGGGAGGGAGGGGCCTTCCTGCCCCTCTGCTGGCAGCCTGGGGAGGCGGAGGTGGTCCCTGCAGGGAGGCTCCAGCTGGTGAGATCCCCTTGCTGTTCAGGACCCAATCTCCCTCAGCCAGTGTGCTGCAGGCCTGAGGGCAGCAGCTCCCCTCCCTCCTGGGGCCTGCTGCCTGGAGCCGGGGCGGTGAGAGTGGAGCTGTAGGAGGGGCAAGGCCAGAACCCAGGGCCCAGGAGTCGGCCCTCAGCTGGGGCTTCTGTTCATCCTGGGAATCCTGGCTGGCACCAGTGCAAGGAGCTGAGCTCAGGAGGCGCAGCCCTTCCCTTCCCAGGAGCGGAGCTGAGCCTTGTCTCCGGGGGCCCAAGGCTTCTGGGGAAGGTCATCCAGCCTGGAGGAAACCAAAGACGGAAGTGGCCCCTGGGGGTGACTCTTCCTCCTCTTCCCCAGCACATGGACTTTCTCTCCTCCCACCCCAGGGCCCACCCATCTGTTTACATATTTATTATCCCAGTGGGGGCCTGAGTAGGGTTGAGGGGGCTGGGGGAGGGGCAGGAGTCCCAGCACTATTGGTTTGTTGTATGCTTGTGTGTTTTGTGTTCTGGATCCTCCTGGGAATGGAGATGGGGCTAGGCCCAGTGCACCAGGCTTCCCTGAGCTGAGTCCGAGCTCCAGGCCCCCCACTCACCTCTCCCTGTGGCCGGTCTGGTTCTCATGTAAACCCACTCCTTGCTTTGTCTCCCTGGATATGGATTTCAGTTAAGTATTTGTAACCCGTTACATTGTGTGTCCTTGTTAAATAAACTTGTTTCTGGCAGTGTCTTCTGGTGCTAGTGTCTATTCTCTGGGCTACTGCACAGAGTAGGGGTGCTCGTCCCTTCCCCTGGCCCAAACAACTGCTCTTTTCTCCAGCCCTGGGACCAGAAGCCAACTTAGGAAGCAGCGTTGGGGAGGTGAAAGACAGGGTTTAGCCGATGGGGCCACAGCATCTCATGGAACCGCTCATGTGACCGAGATGGTGACACCTGGGAGGGGCCATAGGGCTCAGAGGTGTCACCTGAGTGTACAGTCCTCACCTTTTTTCCACCTCTGTTGAAACAGGGCTGGAGGGGGCCCAGGCAGGCAGCCAAGCCAGGGTTCTGAAGCTCATGCATATGCAGAGTTCAGTGGGGAGCGCACAAAGGCAAGAAAGGAAGCTGGATGTTTCCAGGGTTTTATTGGGGCTGCCCTGGCTGCCGGGCTGCACCCTGGTCACAGTGTTGCAGGAACCCGCTGGTCTCGCTATTGCCTTTGCTCTTTCGTGGCTTGACAGGAAAAGTGAGAGGATCGGCCTCACTGGGAAAGAGAAGGCCCTTCCTGGGGGCTGAGACTGGGGGACGGGAGAAGCAGGAAATCTGGGGTGAGCTGGGCTTGCTTGGGGGCTGGGAGGGGAGGGGCTGCCTCCTGGAGTGTGCGGCACAGAGGTCACAGCCTTGGCTTCGTGGGGGTCAGGAAGAGTGGACGGGTGGTGCTTCCTGGGTGCTGAACGTGTGCACTGTCCAAGGCACCAGGGCCAGGACCAGGCACGGCCACAGGGTGTACTTGAGGAAGTTGAACACGTAGAAGAGGCTGATCTGAGGAGGGTGGCCCAGCCAGTCCAGAGGGCCCAACAGCCCCACAGCCAGCACGAGGCAGGCTAGCTTCTGGCCACTTCCCAGCTGTGCCCGCCGTACCTGGGCATAGCAGGGCGAGTGCAGGGCGATGCCCAGCCCCAGGGCCGCACCAGAGTCGCGGCTCAGGGAGGCGAAGGGCCGGCTGTCCACATGCACCCACTCGGGCCGCTCGCACCACTTGGAGGCGAGGCTGATGGACCTGCGGAGCAGAGGGGCCCTTGCCAGGAGAGGGTTCTGCAGGGCTGCTTCCCTGAGTCACCTGGGGGCCAGGACCATGTCTGCTTTGCCCCTAGGAGGGTCTGTGTAACAGGAAGTGTGTCCTTTCTCAGCGGCAGTGAACCAGAGACCCAGCAGGCGAGGCCGGATGGGCCCCAGCCTGCCCAAACTTCCCAGCCAGACTTACCAAGAGAGATCCAGGCCCAGCGTGAAGAGGGTCCAGTAGATGAGGCTGGCACCCAGCATAAGTGCCAGTGCGGTCAGCCCATAGAAGCTCAGCTCACGCTCCACGGGCACCCAGGGAGCCATCAGCCAGCCCAGGACGGCACCTAGGGGAGCGGGATGACAGCAGCTTCAAGGAGTTTGGGGAAATGACCCTCCCCACCCGCACCCGGGCTGCAGTGCAGCTTGGCAAGAGAAAAGACTGCGACAGAAGCAGGACCTTTGGGGCTGGCTCTGTAGAAGCCGGGGATGATGGGAAGGTCCCAGGCAGGTCCTCCCACTGCCAAAGGCACCCTCGGCCCACCTTGGTGGCCTGGTTGCTCACCGGTTATCAGGCCAGCCAGCACCTGGTGGGGGAAGTGAGCTAAGATGAAGACCCGGGACAGGCCGACCGCCAGCAGGAAGGTGCAATACGCCAGGCTAGGCATCACTCTCACCCAGCGGCTGGAAAGGAGACAGGCAGGTGGCTGGGGGGTGGGGCACGCCCAGCTTGACTTCCCTCAGCACCAGGCACCGCATGGCTTGACTGGAAACCCCAGGGTCCCCAGAACTCCAGCTCCCAGGCTGCCATGCTGCCGGGTCTTCTGGATCCAGGGTGCCATCACCCCTGCTCCCGTGGTGGGCAATGCCAAGGGTATACCTGCGGGCCCGAGTGGCCACCTGGGAAGACAGGGCCGTCATTACAGGCCAGAGGGCTGCTCCTGTGATCATGCAGTGTCCAGAAGGGCTGCCTGCCGGAGAACCCAGAAGCTCATGGTGAGCGGGTGGAGGTGGGACCCTGGTGCCCTGGCGAGGCTCCGACACAGTTGCCTCCCCTGGCCCAGACAGCTTCCCCATCACCGATCCTTTGCTTACTCTGTCCTGAGCCTCTCTTGCCTCCACCTGAGGCCACACCTCAGGCTTCTGCCCTGACCTGTGTCTCTTGGCTCTACTCTGTACAGGTGGGCAGCTAGCAGCTGGCATGGGTGCCCTCCTCCCACAGCGCAACTTGGTCTTCTGGGGCTTTCTTTGTTCTCTGGGCCAGTAACTGAGAGGCTCTGGCCTCTGGCTGGGCCAACCTGGCTGAAAAGCACTTCCAAACGCTCACTCGAACCCCAACCGCACTGGGAAGTGGGAGGTTTTAGGCTTCCCACCTGGGCCCGTTTCACATGAAGAGGGGAACTGGTGGACCTGGGCTGGGGCCTGGCTGTAGTACCCAGACTCGTGGACCCACCAAAAGGGCCTGTCTCCAAACAGAAACCTGGAAGAGAACAGATGCAAGATGACCACACATGCACATAGCCGGGGGCAGGACAGCTGGGGGCAGGACACCCGGGAGCGCTCTGGAGGGCCTGAGTGGTGAAGTCAGAAAGGGACCCCAATTCTGTGCCACTACCTTGCCACAGGTTTCTACCTTGGAGCACAAGAAAGCACACTATTTAGAAAAAGTCAACCAGGGCTGGTGCAGTGGCTCACGCTTGCAATTCCAGCGACTCAAGAGGCTGAGGCGGGAGAATCTTTGAGCCCAGGAGTTCAAGACCAACCTGAACAACATAGCAAGACCCCAACTCAACAAAAAAATTTAAACATTAGCCAAGTGTGGTGGCACACCTCTGAAGTCCCAGCTGCTCAGGAGGCCAAGGCAGGAGGATTATTTGAGTCTAAGAATTCCAGGTTACAATGAGCTAGGATTACACCACTGCATTGCAGCCTGGGTGACAGAGTGAGCCTATGTCTAAAAATAAGTAAATGAATAACTGATATAGAGACAAGAGACTGTAATGAGCACATGTGCGTGTGTGTGTACATGTGCTCTGAGACGCTTGACGCCCACTAACCCCTCTCACTGCAGGGCCATCTCTTTTCATTCACAGAGAGCCCAGCACGTGTCTCTCTCCCTCCCAAACCCACAATGACCTCTCTCTGCCCCATTCCACGTTCCCAGTTTTAGCTGAATCACTTACACCTGAATGACTAAGGTGAGGGTCTCATGTCTGAAAATGGAAGTACAGAATGGACAGAGGAAGCTGAAAAAGAATATGGAGAACAAAAATATGCAACTCCCCTGCCTTGGCCTGATAGGTTGGGCCCTGGGAAACTGAGCACTGAAGAGGCTGCTGTGGCCAGAAGAGAAAAGGTGACAGCAAAAGAGATGCTGGCAGGAAGCTGGGTGCTGGAGAGGGAATACAGAAGAGACTTTCCTCTCCCCTTCAGATGTGGAGCCTAGTGCTCACCACGTGCTCACTTAGAACACTCCGTCCACCATCTTTTCATGTCACCACGATGGGGCACATGAATATTTGGCTAATGCTCTCAAGAGCATCAATAATGCCAAAAAGAGAGACAAACGCCAGTTTCTTTTTTTTTTTTTCTGAGAAGGCGTTTCACTCTGTTGTCCAGGCTGGAGTGCAGTGGCACACTTATGGCCACCGCAGCCTCAACCTGCTGGGTTCAGGCAATCCTTCTGTCTCAGCCTTCCAAGTAGCTGGAACCACAGGCACATACCATTACACCTAGTTAATTTTGTGATGAGGTCTCGTCAAGTTGCCCAGGTTAATCTCCAAGTCCTGGACTCAGGCAGTCCTCTCACTTCTGCCTCCCAAAGTGCTGGGATTACAGGTGTTAGCCACTGCACCCGAACACCAGGTTCTTATCAGGCCATGCTCCAAGGTCACTGGCTAGTTTCTAACTGTGATGATGAAGCATGGTTACACTGGTGAACTTGAAATCACTAATGATTACAGAGCTGGGAAAATTGCTGTAAACCTCATAGATAAACTATATAAGGGTGGCGTGATCAGCACCAGATTTGATGTGCAACTCAAAGCTCTAGAAAAATGCCAGAATAAGCCGGGTTCAGTGGCTCAGCCTGTAATCCTGCGCCTTTGGGAGGCTGAGGTGAGTGGATTGCCTGAGCCCATGGGTTCGAGACCCGCCTGGGCAACTTAGCGAGACCTCATCTCTACAATAAATCAAAAAATTAGCTGGGCGTGGTAGTGCACGCTTGTAGTTCCAACTACTTGGAAGGCTGAGGCGGAAGGATGGCCAGAACCCAGCAGGTCGAGGCTGCGGTGACCGGGAGCGTGTCACTGCACTCCAGTCTGGGCGACAGAGTGAGAGTCCAACTCAAAAAAAAAAAAAGGAAGAAAGAAAAGAAAAATGGCAGAATAATCTGCTTCCATTCCTCCAATTTGGTTTCATTATACTGATATCCTCAGTTGGCACCATGGCCCATGAAGAAGTACAATGAAAACACAGGAGGGAAGATCCTGGGATTCTTTTTCTAGATGCAATGCATACTTACAAATGGACAAACAAAAAAAAAAAAAGAAAGAAAAAGAATAGGGACAGCTGGGTGTGGTAACATACACAGGCAATCTCTGCTTCTCTGGAGGCTTAGGGTCCAGGATCACTTGAGCCCAGGATTTTGAGACCTACCTGGGCAACACAGGGCAACTCTGTCCTTTTTTTTTTTGAGTTGGAGTCTCAATCTGTCGCCCAGACTGGAGTATAGTGGCACGCTCCGCTCCCGGCCACCACAGCCTCGACCTGCTGGGCTCCGGTGATCCTTCTGCCTCA